AATTATTTCATTCGCCTGTGTTCAAGTGCATTATATCAATAACTCTGGTTGACAGCGTGTGATCTAGAACCTACAGAAGTTTATTTTCAGTGCAGTATATTAAGATAACACGATGGAAAGGGAAATTATCTGGTTTTGAAACTAAATTCAATAAAATAATGATACTTTTTTGAACTAGGTTTATTTATGCTAAAAAGTAAATAAAAAAAAATATTTTTGACCTTGTTTATTAATATAAGTATAGAATTATTATATTTTTAGACAGCTCGTGACAAGGCAAATTAAATAAAAGAATAATATACAGGATGTCCCGTTTAAAAAATATATAAGCTTGAATCATATTTCATGAATGCCAGCTCCCAGTGAAAAACTAGTTACGTTATTGATTTCTATGTGAAATATTTTACGGGACTGAGTTTTTACCTATTAGATAAGTTATAAGATAACAATGATACGAAGGTAGTTAACAAATGCAATATTTTTAAATTCGCCCTGTATTTCAGAGACCAAAGAGGCTAGGACAAATCTGTATGCAGCACCTTTAGTTTCACAAAAAAGTAGCAGAGTGATGGTTTTCGCATCTTTGTATCTCTACTTATACACGAGAAACCTCACAAAATACACGCAAATGGGACACCCTGTACAGTTTAACATAAACATAATATACATTTTACGTATTTCTGACTGCCTCACTTTAAGTTTTTATATTTTATTCTATAACATTGCTAAGTCGGTTTATAAATAATTTTTTGTCATACGCTCCCAAAAACAGCTATTTTACGGACTCATTTCAGTCCGTAAAATGTTTCTTTTTCGGCCTAGGCCGTAAAGGTCGTCATGGCAACCTTTATGGACTAAAATGTCTAAATTCGTTATTTGGTTGTTTTATTTTGTCATTCGAAATTTGTCACAAAATCACATAAAATTATACATATACTTATAATTAAATTATTAAATACTAACAATATCAAAAGCTAAGTTATTTGTTTAAAGTAAGTACCTAGGTACCTATTTAAAAGAGGCTTTTAAATTAAAATATTCTTAAATTACAGTCACAAACATTCAAACCATCGTCAATTTGGTCGAAATATTCCATGCTGAGAGCAGTGTTAAGTGTTAAAGAAGATATTTAAATTGACAAATTTCCAAAACTTATTGCTTTTTTGAAGAGGAATTCGGTTGGTTACGAGCCTAAAAAGTCTAAGGTTTTGTCCATAAAAGAGATCGGTGATTTTTTGGCCACGGCTAGTGATGAAACTTATTTACTTACTAAGGTAAGTTTGCGATAATGATTTTTAAAATATATAGATGGTTTCTTATTCCATTGTATTTGATTTTTAAATTATTAAATACTAACAATATCAAAAGCTAAGTTATTTGGAAAAATAAAAATGAAATGAACAATTTTGTGCATTTTGAAAACTTGCATCTGCAATCGAAACGACTCCTCCATTGGCAGGTAAATTTACTTTCTGATGAGGTGGAGTAAATGCGAACGATGATGTACTTGGTAATACATCCGTGGAAGTGGTCGCGATTTTCTTTTCCCCCATTAGCAGTTTGCAAACTTTCTTCTTTTTCTCAATAGATTCTTCTATGTAACCTTCGGCCACTGTGGACGACCTAAATAATTATTGTTGTTTAGAACAAGATCGGAAAATATTAAAATTTTTACCTCCAACCTCCTAGGCGTTTCAGCGATGTAAAATCCACATCTGCATCTGCAGCAAGAGTAGCAGAACTACGTCGGAAACAATGACCTGTATATTCGTTTGGGTTCGACAACTTTAAAAATGCTGCTACAATCGATGGCATCTTCCCAAATGAATGAATGCCGACTCGTTGCACGGTGCATTTTCCTTTACGATAAGAGATGAAGACATAATCATGTGGTACATTTTTTGGCCTAAGACAAGCATATTTTCTATACAACTCAACTGGATTGACAACGTTCCCTTCGTTCACCACCGGAAACACTCTTTTGATATTAGTTTTTGTATCCGCAAGGGTAACTAAAAGGCAGCTGTTGTCTTTTTCTATGATGTCTTGCACTCGTGAGAGTACAATTCTTCTCTTCTACATGCTCCACAAAGGCCAATGACAAGAGCTACCTAAAATCAAATACAATGGAATAAGAAACCATCTATATATTTTAAAAATCATTATCGCAAACTTTACCTTAGTAAGTAAATAAGTTTCATCACTAGCCGTGGCCAAAAAATCACCGATCTCTTTTATGGACAAAACCTTAGACTTTTTAGGCTCGTAACCAACCGAATTCCTCTTCAAAAAAGCAATAAGTTTTGGAAATTTGTCAATTTAAATATCTTCTTTAACACTTAACACTGCTCTCAGCATGGAATATTTCGACCAAATTGACGATGGTTTGAATGTTTGTGACTGTAATTTAAGAATATTTTAATTTAAAAGCCTCTTTTAAATAGGTACCTAGGTACTTACTTTTTCGTGGAAATAATTTAGCAATACATCTTCATTTACAACGAATACGCCATTTTTGTCTTTCCATTCATTAAAAACATCATATTCTTTCTGGTAAATGGCACGAGACTTCACAGGAAGTAAATCCAACACGATTTCTTTGGCCTTATTAGCAATATGTTCGGGATTTTGGAACATTTTAAAATTGTTGATGAATTTGTGTGATTTTGTGACAAATTTCGAATGACATGTCAAAATGCGATGAAATAAACAAACTCGTTACTAAGATATGAATTTATAAGCCAACTTTTTCAAACATTATAATTTCAAATATGGAAAATTTGCAAATATGCGTTCTAAAAAACTGTAAAAAGCGTATGACAAAAAATAGTGTATGTAACACGTACCTAAATTATGTTTATTAGGACTCATCTACTATTTCGGACTCGGCTAACGCCTCGTCCGCAAACAGTAATGATTCGTCCTAAAAAACATCATTTTAGGTACTAGTTACATAAATAGCTATTAATGGTTAATATTTTAATAATTTTATTTTGATATTATTGTGAAGCAAAATGTTTTATATTTTATCAAAGGATGTTTCTTATAAAAAAGTTTACAGAATAAATATGTATAGCGGCTGCGGAAAAAAATATTTATAACTAAAGAGGCTATGGGAAATTGCTGGAAATTATTTTCAAGTTTATAGAACGACCGCTAGGAGGCGCAACTGCAACAAAAAATAAGAAAATGATGTTTTTACACAATTTTGACTAGATAAGGTGTACTATAAGTAACAGCTTCATAATCTTCAGTAAATTTTGAATATTTTTTGTTAGAGCCATTTTCCCCTATCTACCAAAATAAAGTGGTGGGGGCAGGTTAGATCTGTTTTTATTTGAATATTAATAACTTTGGACTGGATAATCGGAATCCAACAAGCGAGGGCTCGTTTAAAAGAGCGTTTCTTACTCTATATTGTACCATATAAACAATAAAAATAAGCTTTTGAAAGTAGACGCTAGGGGTTGTTGTCTTACAATTTAACAAACATTGCGAGTTTAAAAAAAAAAATAAACGCAATAGTATATGTAATTTTAGCTCATAGTAAAAAGCTTAAAAAGCCAGCGAAAACCGCATCTTGATATCTTCTTTCAAACCGAAGATATTAGCAAAATTATAATAAACACCAAAAAATAAGCCCTTAATTACCTTCTTTTTACAACACGATATCAGTAGCCCTCTTGATTATGCCCATTCTAACCTAAAAATAAGATAGATAGTAGTATATAGATAGATAGTAGTAGATAGATAGTAGTATAATAGTATCAGATGTATTAATATCTAATAATTAAGATATTAATAATAGTGAACAAGAAACGATGATTCAGTGAAGTCATGGTAGGCTTTGAAAAAAGTTGCTTTTGACGTAATAGTATAAACGTCAAATTCTTATTAGATCAACATTTTTATAGTCTTAGCAGCGTTTTTTATCTTTTGGTTGCTTTTTCAAAATGCCAACAACTTCAACTATTTCAAATAATAAAGGCATTTTGAAAAATAATTTAAAAGATAATAAACGCTGCTAAGACTATCAAAATGTTGATCTAATAACAATTTGACGTTTATACTATTACGCGAAAAGCAACTTTTTTCCAAATCCTACCATGACTTCACTGAATCATCGTTTCTTGTTCACTATTATTAATATCTTAATTATTAGATATTAATACATCTGGTATTATGGTATTCTGGTATTTCGTCGATTTTAAAATAAGCTAACTTTTTCTATCTTAATTTTTTTGTTAGAATGGGCCTAATCAAGAGGGCTACTGATACTGTATTGTAAAAATAAGGTAATTAAGGGGCTTATTTTTTGGTATTTATTATAATTTTGCTAATATCTTCGGTTTGAAAGAAGATATCAAGATGCGGTTTTTGCTGTTTTTTTTAAGCTTTTACTACTCTTTACTATCAGCTAAAATAACACATACTATCGTATTTAATTTTTTTGAAAAAACGCGCTATGTTTGTTAAATTGTCAGAAAGCGCCCCCTAGCGTCTAGTTTCAGAACCTTATTATTATTATTTTTTATGGTATAATAAATAGAGTATGAAACGCTCTTTTAAACGAGCCCTCGTTTGTTGGATTCTGATCATCCAGTCCGGAGTTATTAACATTTAAATAAAGATAGATTTAACCGTCCCCCACCACTTTATTTTAGCAGATAGGGGAAAATGGTTCTAACAAAAAAAAATCCAAAATTTACTGAAGATTATGAAGCTATTATTTATAGTACCCATTATCTAGGCAAAATACCGTAAAAATCTATTTTCTTATTTTTCATAGCAGTTGCGCCACCTAGCGGCCGTTTTACAAACTTGAAAATAATTTCGAGCAATTTCTCATAGCCCCTTTAGTTATACATATTTTTTTCCGTAAGCCCTACGGCTAATACTTTTCTAGATACAGCCGAGAGCTATTCTTAGTGGGACACCCGGTACAATACGAATGTACCTTATTTGAGGATTTAATGGTAAGTTGATTTCGCTTGTTTTTAAGTAGGTACCCGGCCCTGTTGTAGTACACATGCAGGCAACGTGAGCACCATTCTTAATAGTTTTTATAATCGGAGCATCAATGGAGCGCAGAATCTTACTTTTTTACATAAGATAAGCGAATATCTGTATGTATACATATAGGTACGCACAGTTCCATGTAAACGATCGTAAGTCGACTGGGTAAAAATAATCGTAAAGTACTATGTCTTATAATTCATTTAAATATAAAAATAAATAGGGTAATAAGTATTTGTGTGTAATAAATGAAATATAATACAGGCTGGTCCAAATTGTATTCGGAAAACTTTGGCAGCATATTCTGCAGATAAAAGTAGGTACAAAAATTTATATTAATGTACTTTCTAAATTATTAATTTCTGAGATACAGGGCGTAGAATTTACATTTTTATTTCGTTATTTTTTCTGCAAATAATTGCGCGAACTCAGGTATCTGAGTGTTTTTTGACATAAGAAATTTGATTTCGATATTATATGTAACTCTTCGTCAATATAACTCTATTACTTTTAGGGAGCGCCACCTACATGTTTTTTAATTGATTAGAAGTGTAATAATTTTTCGTCCTTATCTGTATAAAATTACTGAATAAAAAAAATACATCTCCGTAATTTCTTACGTATAAATGTCTCTTGGTAAAAATCACTACGAGCAACCGTTTTCAAGATATTTGGAATGGAAATAGTCAATACATGTTGATAAAAAATCAACTATGACTAAATAGTTATTTGAGTCAAATGCTAAATTTGGAAACTTTTTATTTTTTTAAGCTAACCTTGAATTTTTCTAAAAAAAACATAAAGCAGTTTCTGTTGATTTTAACACAAAAACATTTCAAATTTATTATTTCAAACTAATAACTATCCAATCAACATGTATAATTTTTGTTAATAACATGTATTGACTATTTCGATTTCAAATATTTTGAGAACCATTACTCGTAGCGATTTTTACCGAGAGACCTTTTTTACCTAGAAAATGACGGAAATGTTTACTATTTTTCTACTTAGTATGGGGCCCCCTACATGTAGGAGCCATACTGACATTAAAATCAAATTTCTCATGTCAAGAGACACTAATTTTCATCCAAATATCGGCGTAAGCTCGGAAATTATTTGGAAAACTAAAAGCAATGAAACTTCTACACCCTGTATTTCCGAAACGAAACATAGGACATAAATGTATAAGAAGTTTTTACTTATTTTTATCTGCCGAATATGCTGCAGAAGTTCTCCGAGTAAAATTTGGACCACCCTGTATATTTATACTATAAGAGTATCAGATTTTCTGACGAAATTTAAAGAAAATAAGAAGCTATAAAATCAAAATGTAATCGAATGAAATTTGAAAAAGAATTATTTTACCTATGTTAAATTTACAAAAATATATACAGGGTGTTTCAAAAAACATTTGTGATCTCTCATTGGAAGATTCCTCACGTAAAAATAAGATTTATTTTTTATATTAACATAGGTCCGATTCTGCTTTGTCTCGTAGCTACAGGGTGTTAAACTCTTAATTATATCTTTCGATTTATTATAATTTTCTTCCAAGTACTTTTAGTGATTCGAATGAAATTTTGAGGGTAAAATTTACTATAAGCGCCACATATTTTAATACTAAACAAGTGTCGATAAATTCATCAGGGATGTGTATATGGGTTATCACTAGAAAATAGTGAGTCGCATTAAGTTAATGCCGTTTAATGTTAATTTAAAGTTATCTCTTGATATTTTATTGAATTCGGCCTCTTTGATGAGATAAGGGCAAATTTATTAATCACAATTAATAAAATTAAAATAAAAATTATAAATATATTTTACCTAATTTATTATTAAATATTATTACTAATAGTTATTTTATTACTATTAGTCCAAACCACATCAATTTTAAACAAAAAAATAATGGTATTTAAGATAATTACAACAACCTAATTTTAAAATTTTAAAACCCTGTAATTCTAAAACTATGCATTTCCATACCCATGTTTATAGGAACTTTTTTTATATTTTTTGATGAAGAATCAATGAGTACTTATTTAAAACTTTTGCAAGTTAATGATATTAATTTTTTTTAAAGGTTGCTATTAGACTTGGATCAAAGTAAATTGATTAAATTGGGTTTATCTCATCAAGGAGACCGAAATCGACAAAATATCAAGAGACAACTTTTAATCAGCATTAAACTGCTTACACTATTTCACTAACAACAGAGACAAAAGTGGCGTAGAGGCTTTTTTTAGAAAAAATATTCCAGTGGTAACCCATATCCACGTCCCTGGTGAATATGTCGACACTTTTTTAGCTTTAACATTATTTTTTTCATTTATAGTAACTTTTACCCTCAAAATTTCATTCGAAATGCTAAAAGTACGTGAAAGAAAATTATAAAAAATCGAAAAAATATTAAGACTTTAACACTCTGTAGCTACGAAATAAAGCAGAATCGGACCTATGTTGAAATGAAAAATAAATCTTATTTTTACGTGAGGAATCCCCTCACGAGAGATGTCACATGTTTTTTGAAACACCCGGCATATATTCCCGCTATACGAATTTAAATACAAAAATATAGTGATATACATAACTAGATAATTTATAAGAAAATTATGTTTAAATATATTAAATAATTAAATTTTATATTATATTTTTATACTCTTATTTATTAAATTTGAAAAGGGCGCTTCAGCTATATTAAAAAAATTAAGAGTTTACGATATTCATTACTTTTTATGAAATTTGAAATCGAATAAAAACTACCCTTAAGGGTATAACGCCAGGCCCTGATAGGCCGACATTACACTACCTAATTCACAGGTATATTCTCAATTGGCCTACATCCCCACTTAGGACGGGTATAGCCCGCCCTTACATAAGATAAAAGGACTTAAAGGTTTAGTCTGAGTTGATCTACTGAAGAGTTCTCTTGATCGTGATGCTCTAGCATTTTTGACAATTATTTTAATCTTAAAGTGACACTTAAAGCCAAGATGGATTTTGGTGGTCAGTGTGAAGACAAAAATACACATGGTTTAAGGTAAATATACTTTTCTTATTCACAAGATTTTCTCTAATAAGGTGCTTTCAATACCTTTTCTTTTAAATTTGTCTGTTTTTTTTTTAATTAACTGTATATCTTGTCTTGTTGCAGCTCTGAAATTGGACTTCTTTCTCTCTACGATACCAACCCTCGTGATTCTGAATTGCAGGACGTTCTTAAGGAAAAGCTAGGAGATGATGCGTTCTTGGAAGAATTTGCTAATGCTAACCTCTCCCAATCTACCAGTTTACCCACTAATTTTAGCAGCCTTATGGAAAAACCACTCGTTGTAGCTTTTACGTTTCAAGCCCGCAAAATTTCAGACATTCCCTTTAAAAAGAGATTCTCGCCAAGGTATAATAAAGAGAAAATATTCAACATTAGAAAAAAGAAATTGTTGATGCGAGCATCCAAAAATGAAGATAGCGTAATGTCAGAATCAAGTGAGTCGCACCTTTATTATAGTCAGAAACGCAAGACTTTAGAGTCTGACACTTTTCCTCTTAGAAAGAAGAAAAAGTTTTTTTCCTAGAAAACAAAAAGTCACAATTCATATTATAAGACCTACATTCTAATATGATTTTTTTTGTGGTAGCAAAATTATACTCGAAAATCACTTTAAATAATTGATATTTATATTGTGTAATTAATAAAAAAAGGTTTAATTATTTTAGAGTAATAATGTAAATATGATATACAACCATTTGAAATTATAATGTAAATATTATGTATGTGTGTTATACAACTCTTTTAAATTACAATAAACTTTAATATTTTATAATCTTTTTTTGTTTTAATTTCAAATAGCAATTAGTGTTATATTAGGGAGAAAAAAGGCGTAAAAGTGTTTTACTTTTATGCCTAGGCCTTAAAATGACTTTTTTATATTGTCAATGACGCCGCAAAAATTAATATTTTTGTAACGTGAAAAAAAAAGTTTCTGTCATTTTTTTTAGGATTTTAACTGAAATAGAAATTAGATAAAAAAAGAAACTTAGGAATGTGTCTCTCCAAAGACTTTACCTTTTATTTAAAGCAAAAATAGCTATAATATTCTAAGATGCTTCAATAAAAGAGCGAGTAATTTTGCATTTACGACGATAAATAAAAATCAAAATGATACAATCAAATACAGGGTGGCCCATCGAAAACGTTCCGCAAGGCCTAACGGCCAGGATATTTTTTTTTTTCAAAAAATCCAAAAACACGTCAATTTTGTTGGTGAGGGGGACAACTTTTGCCCCAAAAATGATTGCAAAATCTTCAACCTTCTAAGCGGGGGTGTCATCCCCCAACTTTCAAATGGGAAGGGGGGTCAAGTGGTACCACAATGAAAAGGGCTTTTTATTCTCTACACTTTCCCGCTTCGTTTTTGAAAATCGGTCGAGTCATTGAGAAAATATGAAGGATTGAAATTTGAAAAGTTTATTTAAACATTTATCAGAGTAAATGATAAGGATAAATTCCTTCGACCAATTTGCTGTTTTTTCTTATTATCTCTAGATGTTTACGCATTTTTTCACTTGTCACATGGTTGAACCATCAGGTGCGGCAGTTGCTAGACAGCTGTTCTGTGACTTGTGCGTTGAAGTTCTTCTCAATATCGTTAAACTGACCTAAAATAGAATTTCCAAAAATACCAGCCCACACGTTCAATTTCTGAGGGTTTTGTGTGTGCACCTCGTGAAAAACCCCTCAGCCCAGTACCGACAGATATGCCGATTAACTACCCCGTTCAAAAAGAAAGTACACTCATCCGAAAAACACACATTAAATAGGAAATTATTATCATTCGCCACTCGTTCACTCACAGTTTCACAAAATTGCAAGCGACGATCAAAATCGTCTTCATTGAGTTCTTGTACCAACTGAATATTGTACGGGTGGAACTTGTGTTTTTTTAATATCCTTTCGACACTGGTACGGTTCACGCCGGCTAATTTTGCATTGGCTAATTTTCTTGTACTCAGCGTACTATCCATGGCAACTTGGCCCAATACGAATACCTCCATAGCTTCATTTATTACAGGGTTTTCCCTCTGTCTCTTTTTATTCATAACGGAACCAGTTTCGCGAAATTTTGCTACTAACTCGCGAACAATTTTGCCATAAAGGTGTTTTTCAGGATGGCATTCATTGAATATCAGCGGAAACCGATTGCTACATTCATTATTTTTAAAATAAAGTTCGATTATTTCCACTTTTTCTGCAAGTGAGTACACCTTAATTGTTAAAAAGTTTAACGATATTGAGAAGAACTTCAACGCACAAGTCACAGAACAGCTATCTAGCAAATGCCGCACCTGATCGTTCAACCTTGTGGCAAGTGAAAAAATGCGTAAACATCTAGAAATAATAATAAAAAACAGCAAATTGGTTGAAAGAATTTATCCTTATCATTTATTCTGATAAATGTTTAAATAAACTTTTCAAATTTCAATCCTTCATATTTTCTCAATGACTCGACCGATTTTCAAAAACGAAGCGGGAAAATATAGAGAATAAAAAGCCCTTTTCATTGCGGTACCACTTGACCCGCCTTCCTATTTGAAAAAAGTTGGGGGATGACACCCCCGCTTAGAGGGTTGAAGATTTTGCAATCATTTTTGGGGCAAAAGTTGTCCCCCTCACAAACAAAATTGACGTGTTTTTGAATTTTCTGAAAAAAAAATTACCCTGGCCGTTATGCCTTGCGGAACGTTTTCGATGGGCCACCCTGTATATATACAGGGTGGGTCAATGGAAACTTTCCACCCCAATTTTTCTCGTTTAAAATTAAAATTTGGAAAAACACTCGGACACGTCGATTTAGTTTTCAAGGGGGAAATAAAAATATCATAAAATCACTTTCACATCTACAAACCCCATGCGGGGGCGGCGCCACCCCCATATTCTTAAATAGAAAGGGGGACCGAGTGATACCTCATGTGAAAGGTCTTTCAATTTCCTTTCTAATGATATCAGATATCATGTACTTTTGTTCAGTAGTTTTAGAGATTTATTGATTTAAAGTAGATTTTAATTTATCAGCTAAGTGGTGAAAAATCGGTTTCTATTTTTTTTTCTCTCTCTCTGTATGTATTTTTTTGGCAAACAGTGTATACTAAAAATTAAGATTTTAAATAAAAAAGCTTAAATTTTTTTTTATTTTTTAAAATTTCTAAAAAAATTTCCCGGCCAAAATTGAGCTTTTTTCACTTATTCCGAACTGAAAGATTTTTGGGCGTGGATCGATGCAGATTGATTAGTTAAAATTTTTAGTACACACAGTTTGCCAAAAAAATACATACAGAGAGAGAAAAAAAAATAAAAACCGATTTTGTTACCACTTAGCTGATACATTAAAATCTAATTTAAATCAATAAATCTCTAAAACTACTGAACGAAAGTAAATGATATCTATATCATTAGAAAGGGAATTGAAAGACCTTTCACATTAGGTATTACTCGGGCCCCTTTTCATTTAAGAATAGAGGGGTGGCGCCGCCCCCGCTTTGGGGGTTGTAGGTGTGAAAGTGATCTTATGATATTTTTATTTCCCCCTCGAAAACTAAATCGACGTGTCCGAGCGTTTTTCCAAATTTTAATTTTAAACGAGAAAAATTGGGGTGGAAAGTTTCCATTGACCCACCCTGTATAATATAGTATTAATACTTTTGACCTTAGAAAACAGAAGAAGGGCTGTTTAAATACACATTACGTTATCTAAATTACTCTATATTTATAAGAACAAACGACTTACCTGTAGGAAGTTCGTTCTGAATTATATGAGTATCCTCGTCCAAATAGATATACACCCGTAGTATCATTATCATACTTTATCGAGCACATTTTATTCCCAATTACGTAAAGAATGCATTTTTTGTTAGCCATAGGCCTTAGTCATCCGTACCCGACCGTCAGCGTTCTCATACATTATTTTGCTTTTAAATCAAAAAAGAATTTCTTGGGAGGGCTAGTATCGGTAGGGTCGGGACCTATCTATTTGGACGAGGATACTCATATAATTCAGAACGAACTTCCTACAGGTAAGTCGTTTGTTCTTATAATTATATTTCGTATCCTCGTCCAAATAGATATACACCCGTAGATGTTGAAAGAAAAGAAATTCTTTTGTGGCATATTTTGCTATTTTTTACAACAGGTAATGTAAAAATACATAATCGTATAGCATAACTATAAACGTATATTTAAATATAACATGTCAAACGCACAAAACAAAAATATATATAATCTACTCCTACATACACATTATTATAATATATAACAAAATAGCAACAAAAAATTAATGTAATATAATATGCATCACATAATTATGACTCTAAATTAGTATAAGTAATTAGAAAAATATAAATTATAGTTATTAACATTAACAGAATAAAGAGCACCTTACTAGAGCAGTTTATAATGACTGCACTTACTTCCTGCCTGTTTCTATAAAGTTATTTTTTTTTTCTTTACTCAGTGGACGATTATAAAATGTTTGAAATACTTTTGATTTTGAGTATGGTATTCTTTATTTGATCAATATATTATTGGATAAATATAATATATTTTTTATACCCTATGGTATTCTTTATTTGATCAATATTAAATCCCTTTCTGTAGGCCGCTGAAGAGGTCGCGTCCTAACCTAACCTAACCAAACTAGTACTATGAGTACTAAACAATTTTATGTTGGTTCCACTTTCGTTTAACACATCTTTTATCCAGCGACTTATAGACTGGGAACTTGCCACCTTGTGGGGTTTTTTATCAGTAAGAAAAATATAATTTCTTCCCCTCTTAATGATTCAGTTCTTTTTAGGTAAGCTTCTAAAATGCTGGCAACACAAAGTTCAGGGCTGTCGCTAAATTTGTTTAATTTTAAAACGGGTTGCTCTCTATTGTAATTTGAAGTTTTCAAGATATCTGTAACATAAATCTTAATAGAAGAATCTTCTACTTTATATTTTTTAGAGAAATTTTTGACAGTGTCTGAACTCTCTGTCCAATTGCAGGAATTAGGAGAGTAGCAAGGTTTTTTTTTGTGAGCAATTCTACTGAATATTTTCGAGTGGATACCATCTTTTTATAAATTCAAGGAGAAGTCAAGGACAATCCACCATTTCCAGATTTTAGTAGTGATAAAATTAAGGTGCAATTATTCTACACCTCCCATTCTATTAGTATATGATATTCTTGGTCTCAAAAACCTCTAGCGTTTAAATAATTACAATAGGTACCCTAATCCGATTTTGATGCATCAATAATCTAGTAAGTAAAAGTATATTTAAGAAGCATGACATTTTGATCTGCACATTCTATGTTTCTGAGCAACCAGTCGTAAACTTCAGAAAAAAAAAACTTGTTGGCACAAAGAACGCGTTATAATTTTCATTATCTTCCTTAAGGGCTTTGTATTTTGCTCATTCAAGTCTCTTAGTATCTATAAAGCCAGCTGTATTTATCTGCGGGACAAAAAGAAATTAAAGTGCCTATAAGTTGCGAACAAACCATATTATGGTTAGTATGGATACATAGTATCTATATTTTTTGGAAAATTTCAGCACTAACTTTTTAATCTTACATTTCTTTGTGTCTGTAGGATACATTTCCATTAATTTTGTATTTAAGATAAAATCTAAATATGAAATTTCTTGAGTAGGCGTGAAGATACCTTTTTTTATTTTATTTTATTTTTTAATT